ATTATTATTATTATTATTATAACATTTCTATGCCGCCCCCTGCCGAAACCTCGGGGCGGCTTACAACATGATAAAATACATTGAAATACAATAGTACATCATCAATTACCATTCAATATAAAAATACAAAAAAAGACATTGATTTACAAATACAAAATTAAAATGATCAGTATAAAATAAAAATATAGGAGGAGAAAGAGAAGGAAGAAGAAGTTGCCCAGGCCAGATCATATGTTTTAACAATTGAAATGATGTTTAAATAAAAAGGTCTTTACCTGGCGCCGAAAAACCAGCAACGACGGTGCCAGGCGGACCTCTTTGGGGAGTGTTTGACACCCTCGACAGTTTTGCCAGTCACTGGAGCAGCACCTCATGTTCCTGTTTAAATCAGGCTCCTCTGGAGAACGATGAGGACTGGAAACTTACTTAAGAAGGAGGCTTTTGCATGACAGCTTCTACTGTGTGAGCAGAGGGTCCCAGATTCAGCTGAGAAAGGCCTCTCCCTGAAGAGATGCTTCCCCCCCCCCATGCCCCCAGGCACCTTGAAAGGTTGTTGGAGGCTTAATTACGAGCTTCAAGGTGAAGCATGCTAGGTTGCTTGGGCGCATCCCCTTTTGCCTCTGGCCAGGACCGTCTGATGGGCCCTTGCCCTGGGCCCCATACTATTCTCTGTGTGTTAACCCTTGGAAAATTGGAAAGCTTCCAAAGTTATTTATTTATTTATTTATTTATTTATTTAAAACATTTCTATGCCGCCCCCATTGCAACAAAGCCTTGGGGCGGCTCACAACATTAAGCATCACAGTACCAAGTTCATCTGAATTATTAGTTTTAATATCGGCACAAATAAATTTAAAAGATCATCTTATTAATGATTACTATCAATAAAACGTGCATTTTAACCACAACTGTTCATAATTTTAAAAGGTTCTTCTAAAAGTGTCAGTTATTCATGCCAATATGAATCTTAACGGCAGCAATGACCATGCTTGGAAAGCGCCTCCTACCAGAAGACTTGATTTCTCGGACGTAGTTGCTGGGGAACCATCCCGTCTTCCCGTTGAGGG